AACAAACCGAACGGTTTGAACCAAACATACCTATGGCATTGTAGGTTAGGCCATATAAACGAGAAACGCATATCCAAGCTACATCGGTCGGGAATGCTGGAGTCATTTGATCTTGAATCATATGACACATGCGAATCTTGTTTATTGGGTAAGATGACCAAATCTCCTTTCACCGGACACGGTGAAAGAGCTGGTGATCTTCTGGCACTCATTCATAGTGATGTGTGCGGGCCTTTCAATACAACTGCACGAGGTGGTTATTCATACTTCATCACTTTTACTGATGACCTCAGTAGATATGGCTATGTGTATCTCATGAAACACAAGTCAGAATCCTTTGAAATGTTCAAAGAATTCAGGAATGAAGTTGAAAAACAACTTGGCAAAAGTATTAAAACACTACGATCCGATCGAGGTGGAGAATACTTAAGTGGTGAGTTCGATGACTATCTTAGAGAGCATGGGATTTTATCCCAACTCACACCTCCTGGGACTCCACAATGGAATGGTGTCTCTGAAAGGAGGAATCGAACCCTGCTTGACATGGTTCGTTCTATGATGGGTCATTCGACTCTACCAGAATCATTCTGGGGGTATGCGCTGAGCACTGCAATATATACTCTTAACCGAGTTCCAACCAAGGCGGTTGAAGGAACACCATACCAGCTATGGACGGGCAAATGCCCGGTTCTGTCACACTTAAAGATTTGGGGCTGTGAGGCTTATGTCAAACGTCTTTTGACGAATGGCAAGCTTGACGCCAAGTCTGATAAGTGTTTCTTCGTGGGATACCCAAAGGAAACTCGAGGGTATTCATTCTATCACCCTATCGATAAGAAGGTATTCGTTGCTCACAATGGTGTCTTCCTCGAGAAGGAATTTCTCTCCATCGCAACTAGCGGGCGAAAGATAGAGCTCGAAGAAATTCGAGACGACGAAGAAACTACCGCGCCGGTTCTGGAACATGAGCTAGAGGAACAAACTGTTGTACCTCAAAATGCTCAAGATACACAAGAACCCCGTAGGTCTAACCGGTTACGCGCACAACCTGAAAGGTATGGATTCCTCCTAACCTTTGAGGGTGACGTAATGCTTATCTACCAGGATGAGCCGGAGACCTACGTCGAGGCAATCAGTTGTCCTGAGGCTGAGGAATGGCGTCAAGCCATGCAGTCCGAAATGGATTCCATGTACACCAACCAAGTATGGACTTTGGTTGATGCACCCGAAGGGATCAAACCCATTGGGTGCAAATGGGTCTTCAAAAAGAAGACTGACATGGATGGTAAGGTGTAAACCTTCAAGGCACGATTGGTAGCAAAAGGATATCGTCAAATACATGGTATCGACTATGACGAAACTTTTTTTCCAGTTGTCATGATTAAATCCATTCGGATCTTACTTGCTATCGCAGCATACCATGATTACGAAATCTGGCAGATGGACGTCAAAACGGCTTTCCTTAATGGAAACCTCCTTGAGGATGTCTTTATGACACAACCTGAAGGGTTTTGCGCTCTTGAAGAATCTACCAAGGTATGCAAGTTGCAGCGATCAATCTACGGATTGAAGCAAGCCTCACGGAGTTGGAACATCCGCTTTCACGAAACTGTCATCGGCTTTGGTTTTGAAAGAAATTCGGATGAATCTTGTGTATACAAGAAGGTCAGTGGGAGTGCTGTAGTCTTCCTTGCTCTGTATGTTGATGACATACTGCTCATAGGAAACGATATTCCTACTTTAACCACCGTCAAAACGTGGTTGAGTAAGAGTTTCTCTATGAAGGACTTGGGAGATGCCAGTTATGCACTTGGCATAAGGATCTATAGGGATAGATCACGGAAGCTGTTAGGTCTCAGTCAAAGTACATACATAGACAAGGTCCT